GTGTGCCAGCGCCGCAAGGCGGAGGATTAGCCTAGTGAGCCGCGGCGCTGGCCTATCTCAAGTATTAAATGTAAAACTTTTGACAATTAATCTAACTGTGGATGGCTTCTGATTTTGATTCTGCTTTTGTAAAGTATGTTTAAACAAACAATTCAAAAGTATGTTCTTGACTTAGAGATACTAAGCAGTATTGCACGTTTGTCAATTTATTGCATGTATACAACGTTCCCATGAAGTTTATAGAGCATACCTTTGTATAGCTCCAGGTTCTAGAATTAAAACTGATCTGTTTTCACTTTTAAAAAAAGAATGCTTTGAGAGCATTTACAAAGAAAAAGATAACCAAAAATTGATTGTAATTTTATCTAATTGACAGAGCTCCTAAAAAGTAATTTTAAGAATTTAAGAGAGCTCTGAATTTTGGAGCTAAACTCATGACTGTAATATGCAACACATCAAATCTTAAGAAAAACAAAAACTGACTTATTTAAAATGCACAATTCCACATTAAATAAAACTTGAGGACAAATAGATAGGACTGTACCAAAACCAGACTTCCTATTAGCTCACTCAAGTTTGATTAATGAAAACTCCAGATAAAGAGCACAACAGTGTCATCTTTCATTCATTCTGAGGTTAGATTCAACTAAGTTCTCCAAAAAACAAAGCCAATTAAACAGCATCACATTTCACCACGAGAGCTTTCGTAGCTAAAATGTAAACCTCCTCTACAGGCGATCTCTGCTTAAATAGGCATTGTAGCTAGCTAAACAATGCATACACAGACCACAAAGTAGATTAGAGAAACTTTCCAGCTTTGAATACTGTTTTACATTTGTTCCCAGTGCTTTTCTTTGAAAAAAAAAAAACTTTTTTATATGTTTTATGATTTGAACTAAGATTATAAAGTATGCTGTAATAACAAAATAGTACTGAAGAACTCCCAAGGTATTTTTTTCAACCAGGAATGAGAGAGATTGAACCAGCTCTTTGTGCTGGTGCAGAGCAGATAGAACCTCTTCACCTGCTTTCTACAGGTTTCCCTATGGAAGCCTTGCAGCCAGTTACCTTCCATGAGCAGCAACAGTGTCAACAGGAGCTCTGGGAGTCACAGCCCAGGCACCCATCTGCCTAACGGTGGCCTGAGAGAGCTTGGGCACCTGCTGTCTTCCTGATGCCAACTGACATGCCAGAACAGCAGAAGAAATAGCGACTTCCCTCCTCCCTCTCCTTCCCCACGCCACCCAGTTCCCAGATGCTCAGGTGGCATCAAGGTATCTTGAAATGAAACTATCTCTGTGAAGGAGAGTAAATAGAATGACTAGACGTGGCTCATTGGGAAGATTTTACATATAGGCTGTGTAGTAATTCCCATGAGGAATCTTGTCCTTGCTCCCCTGGATAAGCCTACTCTTAACATCCTGTCATATGTAGAGGCACAGAGAACAGTGGTGCCCATCCCAAAGGGCATAGAGAACCCAGTCCAGATTTTCACAAAGGAAGACATGACCTTGCATTCCTGACAAGTGACAAATGACTGACAATGGATACCATTTTAATATTTGTTTTTGTTTGAACATACAACCTTTTGGAGCATGTTCTTTGATAGCTGAGACTCCATGGGTGGCCCAAGGCCAATAGAGTAAAGCCTTTGCATATTGATGTTAACCAAGATTTGCATGAAACCTGACAAGGTACTTGTCTTCCAATATTTAGGGTTTAAGACCTTTAGTGTCTTCAACTGATAGAAAAAAAAATACATTCAGAAAAGATGAGAGTAAATCACTAGTCTTGGCTGTTAGCCTCAGAGGAGTGGGGACTGCTGGGTAGAGCATTACAGTTCATTTGACAGGAACCTCCATGGTGTGTTCTTGGTCACTTCTGAAAGCTGGGTATTGCTTTTCTAAAAATGAACTGTTCCTCTGTCAACGCACGTGCAGAATCTTTGTTCTTGGGTTCTTTCTCATCTAGACAAGGATGGGGGTGTCACAGCTGAGATAAGAGACAGTGACAGTATTGTGTTTATAGTTTTGTTTTCTGATCCTCTCCCCTCAGCATATATTTCTGCTCCTCTTCTTCCCCATCAAATATCTAGGAGAAGCTTTCTCCCCACTGTCTCCATTATTTTCACATCCCACTCACTCTCTCTTTAGTACACTCTAGTCTGGTTGCCACGTTAGACACACCCATACAGCTCTTGCTAAGGTCTTCAGTAACCTCTATGTGGTTACTGAATTCTCCTTTCTATGTCCTATTAGTGCCATCTATTTTACATAATTCAGGGCACAGCCAATTATTTAGAGAGTGTGACATGATGGAAAGTCTCCTTGGAGTGACAAGGGCATGAGAAGAGTCCATCCCAGGACTCAAATTTACAGAGAGTGCTATAAATTCACAAGGTAAAATGTTTCCATTTAACTCCTGTAAATCTCAATTTCCATCTATATGTATAATGCCTTATATTTAGTGAGTGGTACTTAATGATAGGCTTGAAATAAAGCTCAGGTTTGAAGAATAAATTTAAAGTGATAAAAGACTGACATATGGATAAGTTAAATTGCTCTGTAGAAAGAACATTTTGATAATATAAATATTTGGATAGAAATCAGGTTTGTATTCTCTAAACCAAGCTTTTGCCAGACTCTAATGAATTGCATATCCTGAGGAAGGAAGAAAGAAGTTATCCTACACTTCCGCTGGTTTCTTCTGCCTAGCACAAGAAGTTTACAATATGTCAATTATTGATATTGCTGTTTCTGGCAGTCTCTGTTATTCTTCTGTTCACTCATCCAGTCAACAAGCATTTATTATATTTCTGCCAAGTGCTAGTCTCTGATGTAAGAAGTAGGTATCAACAATGAGTATTGCACAGTCTGCTTTACAGCTTCAGGTCTAGTAAGAAAATAGACTTTGCTCCACTTGCTTATGAATGAATATGTAGTTAGAGATTCAGTAATATGATTTGTGGATCATATGAAAAAGGCTTCCTGAAGAAATGGGGTTTAAATGGGGGTAGGAGGGAAACCAGCAGGGTGTGACAACAAGGGCAAACATGATAGCTCATTATGGGATTTCACCATGTAGAGGTTACTGAAGACCTTAGCAAGAGTTGTGTGGGTGTGTCTAAGGTGGCAACCAGACTGCAGTATCCTAAGGAGACAGTGAGTGGGAGATGAAAATAATGGAGATAAATAGTGGGGGAAAATCTCTTCCTAGATACTTGATGAGGAAGAAGAGGAGCAGAAATATATGCTGAATGGAGAGTATCAGAAAACAAAACTATAAACACAATACTGTCACTGTCTCTTATCTCAGCTGTGACACCCCCATCTCTGTCTAGATAAGAAAGAACCCAAGAACAAGGTTCTTGCCCCAGAGTGAATGGTACTTGGACAAGAATCAAAACTGTACTCATATAGGAATATTCTCATGGAATACTCATACAGGAATATTCTCATTTAATATATGCAGACTAATTAAAGTTCTATTGCTAATAACTATCCTTTGGACAAGGTAGTGGCTTTATGAAATAAAATGCCACTCTCATTTACAGTGAAATTTTACATGTTTCAATTCTCAATATACTTTTATAATAATATTTTCCAAACACACTGGAGTAGCATTGCATAATTAATCTGACCATATATTGTTTTATATTTATTATCTCTTCAAATTCCATTATATGAACAAGTGTGCAAATGGGGGTACTACTATATGAGCTTTCTACTACAGTGGATGATACAGACCCACTGTGTCTCACTGGCTAATTAAATTTAATATTAAAAGAGAAGGTTAACTCTTGCAAGCACTTGCAGATTTTTCTTATTCTGGGAACAGTCCCTAAGTGAATAAAACAGCCACCTGCAACACTGTAGAAATTCAAAAGAATAATTTGGGGATGACATTATACAGGTTTACATTCCCCTTGAAGCCATTTTTATCAACACGGTTTTGTCTGCATCCATTTTCACAGTCATCAACTCTCTCCCGTTCACACTGATTGCACAGGGAAACACATGAACTATTTTATTTATAGGAAAAGATGACTCTGCACTGTGACCAAATGACTCCTCTAATGTCTCAACAATATATATATATACATATACATATACATGTGTGTGTGTGTGTGTATATATGTATATATATATGAAGCTAACCCTACACCAAGGGGAGTCATCCTCATCCGAAAGCCACGAAGAGCCTAAGTCTAAGTATGAAACAAATTGATTCGTAGAATTTGATTCAACTATCAGTTCGTGCAAAGTATTGTCCCTGCTGCTGTTTCTCTTAACTTGCTTCCCTATGGCTACTCTGTGTTTTCTTAAAAGGAAAGTGATTCGGGAACAGCAAGTCTAATAAACTTACAGAGGGGTCACTGCTGATCAGATACCAGAACCACATTGTAAGAAAATGGAATGAAGTCAATCTGTGCACCCGATTGTGCTAAATGAGACCCGCGGACTGGAAACAGAACAGAAAATAAAAATGCTAAAGTCCTTTTGGAAGCACCAAATTACAAGATTCAGAATAAGCCGCTTCATCCGACAGACCGCTAGAAAATCCTATTTGCAAAATAGCTCCCACTAGCTTCCTGTATGTCTGAAGTGAGACTCAATTTTGGCAAGAAAATGCACTCCTGCCAGCGGTAAGGAAAAGGAATGGTATCTCTCTGTCTCTATCAGAAAGACGAACTCCTAGATGAATGGACGACATGAGCTCAGTGTCACCCGCGCACAGCCAGCCCTGGTACATCACCCTCTCCCAGCCTGAGGAACCGCCGGTTTGTGGCGCCCAAGGAGGAGAGTATCCACACCTGCTGATTGGAGGCAGGCAGCCCGGGGCGTTGCCTAGACTCACCGCCCCTGTGGGTGCCCAGGACTATTAGGTAGCCGTAGTGAAAGCCCCCAGGAGCAGAGGGGACGGCGCCTGCGTAGGGCGTTTCTGGGTGCCCCTGGTGCCAGCAACGGAGAGTTGGGACGGGATGGAGCAGGAGGTGGGCAGAGCCGCTTCCCCCACTGCTGTTACCTGCAGAGGCTGAAGTGCGGCCACGAGCTCCCGCTGGATCTGCGCTTCCGCTCGAGAACGGACAGCAACCACCACCTTCCCCGGGAGCTAAGGCGAGCCCCTCTTTGGTTAGGGCACCCTGCGGACATCCCAACGCCAGAGTCCCGCCCGTGGCGATGGCTGGGTCTTCTCGGAACTCCACCTGGACGCTCGCTGCGGTGCTCCTCTGCCTGCTCGTAAGTTGCCCCGCGCTGCAGAAACAGGTACCCTCGCCTGAGACTGAGCCCCACCTGGCGCTCTACCTGCCCGCTAAGGGAGCGCTCAACGATAGCAGCTCCGATGGCCCCGGCGTCCTGATTGCCAACCCTGGGCTGCAGGTGCCCCTGGGCCGCTCGCTTTGGCTCGACCCGCTCCGGGACCTGGTGATTCAAGTGCAACCGGGGGACCGATGCGAGGTGACGGTGCTGGACGCCTGGCCCCCGCTCCAGGGTACGCTCTCCCCGCGCCGCTTCCCCTGCGCCTTTGGTCCTCGCAGGGTCCAATACACTCACTTCGGCTCGCACAACCCCGGCCGCGCCAGGGTGCAGCTGCAGCTGCGCTACGACGCCCCGACTTACACGCTGGTGGTGCCCTTCACGCTGGCTGTGGACGTGGTTTTCTCCCAGCTGGAGCTGGTGACGCGCAACAAGCCTGTAGCGGTGAGCCAGCTGCGGGGCTGGAGCCACACCATCGACCAGAGAGTGCTGGGCTTCTCCTGCCCGGAGTCCCGAGCCGCAGCCGCCCCCAGATGCCGTCTCACCCCTCTTCCTCGCGAAGGCGAACCACTGCCCAGGTACGGGCGCTTGGTGAACGCCATGGGGGTCCCTCTCCCCAGAGGCAAGGGTGTAGACTGCGAAGCTTTTCTCCGGGCTGGGGTGCGCTACCAGCACACTACCGCCATCAACTCGCCCAACCGGGACTACGTGCCCATGATGGTGGAGCTGCTGGGGGCAGAGGACAGAGGCCCTGGGTCAGGGGAGGTGCTGGCCCGAGAGTACTTCCAGATGCTGGTGGAGATCCGAAGGGGAGCAAACAATACGGCGCCCCGGCCCAGCCTCGAGGCCCTGATGATGATGGAGGTTGACCAGTGCATGTTAACAGCCCTGACTTCCGATGTGCTGGCTGCGGAGGACATGGAGTCAGACCCTGACCACCTGGTCTTCAACATTCTCAATTCTACCCCCGCCCCAAAAGGGTACTCTGGCCAGCAGGGCTATGTGGTCAGCACTGACGACCCCCTGGGCCTTCCAGTCTCCTTCTTCACCCAGAGGGAGCTGCGGGAGCTGAAAATTGCCTATCAGCCCCCTAAAGAGAATTCCCTTGGGGAGCGTCTCTTCCAGCTGGAACTGGAGGTGATGGATGGAGATGGTGCTACCTCAGACCCCTTTGCCTTCTTGGTGGTGGTAAAGCCAATGAACACCCTGGCCCCAGTGGCTAGCTATTCCCAGGGGCTACTGCTTTTTGAAGGTCATTCAAGGCCTCTGTCCAGCACCCAAAACCTTCAGATCAGTGATAAAGATAACCTAGAAGAGGTGAAAATGGCTGCAGTGAGGGGCTTGAGTTATGGGCAGTTGGTGGTGCTTGGGGCACCTCCAGAATACAAGTATTTCACACCAGTAGACCTGGCAGCTGGGCGGGTAGTGTACCAGCATGATGGCAGCAACACTTACAGTGACAACATCATCTTCCAGATACAGGATGGGCACCACCAGGTGGAATTCCTTTTCCCTATCACAATTATACCTGTGGATGATGAACCACCAGAGGTCAGTGCCAACACAGGACTCTCAGTGACCCCAGGGGAGGTGGTTCAGGTCTCCTCCTTTGTCCTGAGTGCCACAGATACCAATTCTGAGGACTCAGCCATCCACTTTGTACTGGATGACCAGCCTCTGGAAGGGAAAGAAGGGGAGAGAGAGCAGGGTGTGGCTGCTGGTTCCTCCTACTCAAGCCAACACATGGGGGAAATGCTGCTGAGGCAGCCTGAGCCACCTCTGTCCCCCCTAGATAAGGACTGGCACTATGTGGCAAAGGAAAAGCTTTATGAGAAAGTGGTAACTGAGTGGCTACAGAGAGATATAATAGAAGGGAGACTCTTCTACCGCCATCTTGGTCCACACAGCCCTCAATCTGTAACAGCCCAGCTGGCTTTCCACGTACAGGATGACCAAGACCCACCCAATCTATCTAGCCAGTACTCCTTCATCATCAAAGTCCAACCAATGGATATGCAGGGTCCAGAACTATATCCAGGAACTACCCTAGAAATGACTGTGAAAAACTGTGAACTCACTTTCTTCCATGAGAAAGTCCTCCAATACACTGACCAGGACTCAGATGCCCAGAACTTGTGGTACACTCTGTTGACACCCCCTACTGACACAGATGGCAACCACCAAGTCTGGACTGGAGAAATTGTGCTCACTGATTCTCCAGACACACCCATCATGCATTTCACACAGGCCCAGGTAAATCAACACAAGGTTGCCTACCAGCCTCCAGTGAAGAAGATGGGTATTATTCCACAGGTTGTGCAGTTCACCTACCAGGTGGAGGATGCTACAGGCAATAGTGTTTCAGACACATTCACATTATTCCTGCAGCCAGAGGTCAGCCAGCCTCCCAAAGTCACCAATAGGGGCTTTACTGTCCTGGAGGGAGGCAGCTTTATACTCAGCAGTGATGAGTTGAATGTTACAGATCCTGACACAGACATTGATCAAATTGTCTTCACATTAGTCTGGGGTCCTCAACATGGACACTTGCAGTACTTTAAGAAGTGTATGATCCCAGGGGAGTCTTTCAGGCAAGCTGATATTATTAATGGGAGTGTGTCTTACCAGCATGGCAGAGACGACACTATTAGTGACACCTTCTATCTGGAGGTAAGTGACGGGGTACATCAAATACCCATCGCTGTCCAAATTTCTATACCTCCAACTCCAGCTAACAAAAGTCCTGAGATATCTATCACAGATATTCCACTTTTGGATATTTCCATAGATGTACTAGAAAATAGCACTTCTGAGATTACCATGGGTGTTATTCATGACAAAAAGAACACAAGTGACTTGATGTTGTCTTTCATTGTTGAGGACAGCCCCAAATTGGGCACTATCCTGGTGAATGGTTTACTCACAGAATGCTTCACCCAAGAGGACCTCCTCAGTGGGGCAGTTGCCTATGTTCACACTGGAGGTGAAGTTGGTTTCCAAAAACAGCAGGATGCTTTCAGTCTAGTCCTCTCAAAGGATTCTTATCAATGGATAATAGGGGATAGCATAGTGGAGAAGGTTCAAGTGCAAGTAACTGTGCTGCCTGTGAACAACATGGCCCCCAAAGTCTTGGTAGGAGAGTCCTTCATTGTCTATGAAGGTGGAAAGAGCCCCTTAACCTTACAACACCTTAACATTGAAGATGTGGACACTCCTCAAGATGAAATCTTATGCACAGTGGCTGTTCAGCCAGCCTCTGGCTACCTGGAAAGCATTGCACCAGCCCCTGGTTCAGAAGTGTCACATGCTAGTAACCCCATCTGTGCGTTCTCCATCAAAGATGTCCGAAAGGGACACATCAATTATGTACAGAGTGTCCACAGAGGGGTAGAACCACAAGCAGATAATTTCACCTTTTATTGCTCTGACGGCATCAACTTCTCTCCAAATATCTTCTTCCCTATCATCATCTTGCCCACCAATGATGAGCACCCTAAACTTTTTGTCCATGAGTTTGTGGTGTTAGAGGGGATGAGCTTGGTCATTGACATCCTACTGCTCAATGGATCAGATGCTGACCTGCCACCAAATAAGCTCCACTTTCAACTCACAGCCCTTCCTCAACATGGACGGATCATACAGCAGCTGGCCACAGGCAACCAGCCCATCTGCAGCTTCACCTTAGAGGAGATCCAGGAGGCCTCCACCATTGTGTATGAACATGATGACTCAGAGAACTCAGAGGACAGTTTTGAGGTCTGGCTGAGTGATGGCAAACATACCACCCACAGGAAGGTACCTATTGTGGTGATATTGGTGGATGATGAAGCCCCTCAGCTGACCATCAATTATGGGCTGCAAGTAGAGATTGGACACTCTGAGATCATCACAAATAAGATCCTAAAGGCTACAGACCTTGATTCCAATGATAAAAATCTCAGTTTTGTCCTCCATTCTACGCCCAAGGAAGGAATTCTACAACGACTCAGAAAACCTGGAGGAGAACTGAGGGATAACCTCACTCTGGGAATGAACTTTACCCAGGATGAGATTGACAAAGGCCTCATCTGTTACACCCACACAGGCCAAAAAGGAGTTGTTGACCTCATCAAGTTTGATGTGACTGATGGGGTGAACCTTTTGACAGACTGCTATTTCTATGTCACCACTGGTAACTTAGACTGGGTCTTCCCTGAGATAGTCAGGAGAAGGATCACCTTAACAGACGACAGCAGAGTGACCCTCACCACTGATCTGCTCAACACCAGTGACATCAACAGCCCTGATGAAAAACTTCACTTTAGCATCACACAGGCTCCTAGCTTGGGCCACTTGGAAAGCTCTGACTACCCTGGGGAGCCCATTGCCTCTTTCACTCAACCTCAATTGTCCGACAACAAAATATTGTATGTCCACACTTCAAATGATGAGACAAAGATGGACAACTTTGAGTTTCAAATGACTGATGGACACAACCCTGTGTTAAGAACCTTCAGGATCTTCATCACAGATGTGGATAATAATATACCTGTTTTGACTATTCATGAACTAACTCTGCAGCAAGGGGACAGCAAACTGATCACTCCCTTTGAGTTGATGGCAGAAGACCAGGATACCCCAGATGATCTTATTCTCTTCACCATCATCCAGGCCCCCATCCATGGCAGGATTTTGTATAAGGGAAGCATTCCTGTGACCATGTTCACCCAGAAGGACCTGAATAAGCATCTGATTAGCTACTGGCACAATGGCAGTGAGACTACCAATGACAGTTTCTCCTTGACTGTAACAGATGGCACTCACACTGATTTCTACGTCTTCCCGGACACTGCCGTGGAAACACATAAACCTCAGGTTATGAGAATCCAGAAAAGCTTCCTTGACAATAGGCTTCCCCAGATGGCCATTAACAGGGGTGCCTCTGCCTTACAGTGCCTTCACACTGGACACATGGGCTTCCTGGTTACCAGTAAGTCTCTGAAAGCAGAAGATCAGGACAGTCCACACAGGCTCCTGAAGTATAGGGTGACGAGAGGACCACAGCATGGCTTCATTACCAACATTGGCCTTGGGAATGCAATCACTCAAGCGTTTACACAAGGTCAGTGCACATCTTTTCTGATGCCACTGTCTCTCACCTTCAGTGGGTCACATCAATCAGCTCTTGTAAAATTGTCCTGACCTCAGATCATTTGAATATTTGAATAATATTCTGCTTCTAATAAAACACAGTGGAATGCAAAATTATTCTGAAAACAAAACAAAAAAAACACAAAGTCCATTTTAAGCTATGAGAGAGAGAGAGAGAGAGAGAGAGAAAGAGAGAGAGAGAGATCCTATCTGCTAGGTCACTTCCCAAATGATGCACAATGGCCAGGAAAATAGGTTTGACCAAAGCTGGGATCTGGAAACACTGCTCAGGTCTCCCACATGGGTGACAGAAACCTAATTACCTGAGCTACCATCTCTGCCTCCCAGTGTCTACATTCACAGGAAGCTGGAGTTGGGAGCCAGATCTGAGTACCAAACCCAGGTACTCTGATGTGGGACACAAGGATCTTAACCCGTGTCATAGACACTAGACTAAATGCCTGCCCAACATTGCACCTTTTTATTGTGCTATTCAAAGGTAATTTCTACATCTCACAAAAACATAAAATTAAGTTTGCCTAAGCGTGAGATCATTTTTCTCTTATATCTAGTGGTGAACTAAAGGTGAGTCCCTCTGCTTTCCCAGGTGATGTGATTTCTGGTGGTTTGAGAGCTTCTCTTTACATTGTCTTACACTTTCTTTAGGTAGCTCTGTGCCTTATATGTGAAGAGATGCACAAAGTGTCCCACACACAATACATGTAAACTGAGATACAGTCTCCGAGTAGACCATTAGAGGGTGTTTAAAAGTTTGGTTGCATTTTCAGGGTTGCTTCTTAAAGCAAATGAAATCATGTGTTTCTGTAAGAATTGTTATCATAGGGAACAGGCACTTAGTCTAGTGGTTAGGAAGCCTGGGTCCTGATTATAGCCTGGTCCAGCCCAGCTGCAACCATTGTAGGTATCTGGGGAATGAACCAGCATGTGGGAGCATTCCCTTTTTCTGTTTATTTGTCTCTATACCTCTAAAATAAATTTTTTTAAAAAAAATTTATAGAATTGTTCTTGTAAACAAATACTCTCAAAAAGTAAATTGTCTTTGAAATATTAACAATTGCCAATAGAAAACATAATTATAGGGGCCGGCACTGTGGCGCAGTGAGTTAAAGCCTTGGCCTGAAGCTCTGGCATCCATATGGGCACCAGTTCTAGTCCCGGCTGCTCCTCTTCCCATCCAGCTCTCTGCTATGGCCTGGGAAAGCAGTAGAAGATGGCCCAAGTGCTTAGACCCCTGGATCCACTTGGGAGATCTGGAAGAAGCTCCTGGCTCCTGGCTTCGGATCCGCACAGCTCCAGTCATTGCGGCCATCTGGGCAGTGAACCATCGCATGGAAGACCTCTCTCTTTGTCTCTACCTCTCTCTGTAACACTGTCTTTCAAATAAATAAAATAAATCTAAAAAAAAAAAAAGAAAGAAAAACATAATTATAAATCTGAGGACCAAATTCTTAAAGCTACAGAGGAATAGACAATAGGTAAATATCACATTTTATTCTCATTTTCTTTTCTCTTAGGATGAGGCAGTTACTCTTGCCTAAGCTCATTCTGGCAAATAGTTAGCGAGTATCCACCATTTTGTCAAGCCCTACACTGATGCAGAAGACTTAAAACCAAGTAGCCCTGGCTCTCTGTAGAGTAACGGGATATTATAAGGCATCTATAGCTAGGGTGTTATTTGGTTGGGCATCATTCCAGAGAACATGTACACATTCTAGTACTGTAACAACTTTAATTCTAAAGTCTTATTTTGCCACTGTAACTTTAAGAAATGGTCGATCATGTTCACTCCATCACTATTTTAAATTTTAGTTATTGTGGTTTCCCTGCCCTATTAAAACATAGTCATTAACTTCATCATTTTTATTGATCAATGTGACTTAGTATGATGCTTGCTTTTTTTCTAAGCTGACATTGATGAGAGGCGGATCTACTACGTCTTGAACAAGGGCAGTAAGGCAACAAAAGACATCTTCTACTTCTCTGTTGAAGACAATGGTAAGTCAATAGTAAAATGTTAAAAAGGATTCATGTTTAATTAAAGTCTATGTGAAACTGAAAGAAAACTAAATTTATATAAAATTAAATTATTTATAAATTAAACTTATATAGTAATCAAAATCTGTATTGTCATCTATGATACAAACAAATGAATTACTTTTGTTTTATTAGATCCTTTCCCAAATGATTCTCGACAAATCAATTTTTAGGAAAACAAAGAGATGAGACATTTGATGCATGACTCTGAAAGTGTTTTATCTGACCTGAATTGTGTGGGCCTCCTTCAAGCTTAATCTTCAGATTCCAAGAATCAACCTAGTGGTTTCTAAAATCCTGCAGCGGCTGGCGCCACAGCTCACTAGGCTAATCCTCCACCTGTGGCACTGGCACACCGGGTTCTAGTCCCAGTCGGGGCGCCGGATTCTGTCCCGGTTGCCCCTCTTCCAGGCCAGCTCTCTGCTGTGGCCTGGGAGTGCAGTGGAGGATGGCCCAAGTCCTTGGGCCCTGCACCCCATGGGAGACCAAGATAAGTACCTGGCTCCTGGCTTCGGATCAGTACGGTGTGCCAGCCGCAGCAGCCACTGGGGGGTGAACCAGCGGAAAAAGAAGACCTTTCTCTCTGTCTCTCTCTCTCACTGTCCACTCTGCCTGTCAAAAAAAAAAAAAAAAATCCTGCAACAAATTAGAAAATCTGCCTTTAGATTTTGTCAGAATTTTGAGCTGCAGAACTGAATCTTAGGGCTTTGTGACCTTAGAACTGTAATCTTCTTGCATGAGGTGGAAAATATATTTACTAGCACAGAAGACTTTCTAAAAGCTGCCTGTTTAAGCTGCCCCTATGTCTGTCTGCTGTATTTTCAAGAAAACAGAATGGGCAGTAAGTGGTTAACGGAGGGCATTTGCTTTACACAACTGAGACTATAATAATTATGTGGTCAAAAAAATCATTTTTCAGTATGACAGGATAATAGCAGAAATTATGTCCGTGTGCTGCTTGCCACTCAATAACCTCTCAGTATAAATCATTACTCATTTCCAGTAAGTAACAAGCGTTTGCTCTCTGAATCATGTGTCATCAGTCAAGGACCATATTTATTGGAAAGCAGTCCCATCAGAGAGGCCATTCGTATACTGGGTTTGAATCCCAACTTTCCCCATGTGACCTTGCACAAGTTGCTTTGTCCTCCCATTCATTCCTCCATCTATAAAATAACCTTCCTATCTATGCTAAGAAGACTAAGTAAGATAATATATATAAAGCACTTGGCACTACGTAGGTGCTCATTGAGTTACTCTCTCTCTTTCTGATAAGACTGACCACTGTACATGAAAACCACTGATCTCTCCTCCCAGTTTTTTCAAAATTTAAAACCAAATATTTCCTCCCTTTCTCAAGTTCTTAGTAACAAAATTATCTCAGAATTATGAGCTTATGCATTTGAAGCTGATTAATGTAAAAATGTCAGACAAATAGTTTATAGTGAGTATTTCTCTTTCTGTTGAGGGAAGACTAATACTCATAAAACAATGTACCTCCGACTCCAACACTAGGTTTTGTGAGCAACATTAAAACAAGTTACCGTGATGTGGATTTTATATAGCTACCATTTCTAGTGAATTCTATGAGCTAGGCATTGCTTATGTTCCTTACTACTTTTGATCCTCACTACAAAGCAAAAGGCAAATGTTAAGATGCCCATTTTAAAATGAAGATACTGGGGCCGGAGCCATGGCTCACTTGGCTAATCCTCTGCCTGCGGTGCCAGCATCCCATATGGGTGCCGGTTCTGGTCCCGGCTGCTCCTCTTCCAGTCCAGCTCTCTGCTGTGGCCCGGGAGGGCAGTGGAGGATGGCCCAAGTGCTTGGGCCCCTGTATCCGCTTGGGAGACCAGGAAGAAACACCTGGCTCCTGGCATCAGATCGGCGCAATTCTGTCCATAGCAGCCATTTTGGGGGTGAACCAACGGAAGGAAAACCTTTCTCTCTATCTCTCTCTCTCACTGTCTACCTGTCAAATGAATAAAAGGAAAAAAATGAAGATACTGAGGTTGAATAATGTGTAGGGGTAATGAACAAGTAACATGGAATACAATTCAGGTGTTGGCAATCACTCTACACAATATGCTCCTCTACCTCTGCTTTGGGAAGATGAACCATGCAAAAGACTCAACTTCATAACCCAACAAAACAGCAACTTGTAAATTAAAGAGATGAGAATGATCAAGCACAGACTCCAGAGAATTTGAGGACAAGTTCGTTCAGTGTTGGATATTAAAGCACATATTCACATCCATAAGCTAATCAAATACTTATGCATTCATTCAGTGGATTTTTTAATTTCCATTGGAGAGCATGTAAAGAGCTGAGATCCATGAATTCTGGCTTGACTGTTCTTTGGGACAGCTGATGAAGGAATCACTTTAAATATTTGTGTATTTGGCATTTTTAAATTTTATGAAAATATGATTATTTGTATCTTTACAGTAAACAATTTAATCTTTTCTTCATTTGAAATATAGCCATTTTTAAAAGGTTTCCCAAATGGGGTATTTATCAGAAATTATAATTTAATCAATTAATGATTTCCTTTCTTAACATCACATAGCCCTAACAGAAGATACTACAGTCATTTGAGCTATTTTGAATGGACACACTTCTAGGAATACATTTTTGCACTATTGGGATGAAATAGAATTTTTTGGTGTTCTTGTTGTTGTTTGTAGTACTATTTTCAAACCATTAAAGACAAGATCAAGCCCTACCACCAGAAGTGTGCATTAGGCATATGGCACAGGTGAGCTCAGTTGTCTTAAGGGTAGAAGTACTAGCAAGGTGACCCCAGAGCTAAAATTTTGCTGAAATTCCCAAGGGTGAAACCATAAAAGTTTCCCTTTATAGCCTCTAAAAATCAGACTTCCTGCATTCAAACCCCAGGTCCGCCCCTTAGTAGCTGTGTATCTCTGAGAACTGTCTGTGCTCTAGATGATTGGTCATCTGTGAATAGCAGCATGCACCCCCATAAGGTCATCATGGGGCCCTCAGTGGTTTTCCATCACTGCTGTAATGAATAGACACAAGTTAAGACTTAAAACAACACTGATCTGTCACTTTACAGTTCTGGAATTCAGAAGTTCAAAATGGTTCTCACTGGAATAAAATCGAGGTTTGGGCAAGATTGCATTTGTCTGCAGAGACTTGAAGGGGAGAATCCATTTCTTACGCTCTCCAGCTTCCAGAGGCTGCCCAATGCTTCTATCTTTAAAGTCGAAGCAGGCAATACTTTCTCCTGCTAATCCACTCTCACATTCACTTTCCTGCACCCCTCTTTCACTGACACAAAATCTTTTTTTTTTAAACTTTTATTTAATGAATATAAATTTCCAAAATACAGCTTATGGATTACAATGGCTTCCCCCCCATAACGTCCCTCCCATCCGCAACCCTCCCCTTTCCCACTCCCTCTCCCCTTCCATTCACATCAAGATTCATTTTCGATTCTCTTTATATACAGAAGATCAGTTTAGCATACATTAAGTAAAGATTTCAACAGTTTGCTCCCACACAGAAAAATAAAGTGAAAAATACTGTTTGAGTATTAGTTATAGCATTAAATCTCAATGTACAGCACACTAAGGACAAAGATCCTACATGAGGAGTAAGTGCACAGTGACTCCTGTTGTTGTCTTAACAAATTGACACTCTTGTTTATGGCATCAGTAATCACCCTAGGCTCTTGTCATGAGCTGCCAAGACTATGGAAGCCCCCTGAGTTCACCGACTCTGATCATATTTAGACAAGGCCATGGTCAAAGTGGAAGTTCTCTCCTCCCTTCAGAAAAAGGTAACTCCTTCTTTGATGACCCGTTCTTTCCACTGGGATCTCACTCACGGAGATCTTTCATTTAGGTTTTTTTTTTCCCCCAGAGTGTCTTGGCTTTCCATGCCTGAAATATTCTCATGGGCTTTTCAGCCGGATCCGCATGCCTTAAGGGCTGATTCTGAGGCCAGGGTGCTGTTTAGGACATCTGCCATTCTATGGGTCTGCTGTGTATCTCACTTCCCATGTTGGATCATTCTCTCCCTTTTTGATTCTATCAGCTAGTATTTGCAGACACTATTCTTGTTTATGTGATCCCTTTGGTTCTTAGTCCTATCATTATGCTTAATTGTGAACAGAAATTGATCACTGGGACTAGTGAGATGGCATTGGTACATGCCACCTTGATGGGATTGAATTGGAATCCCCTGGTATGTTTCTAACTCTACCGTTTGAGGCAAGTCAGCTTGAGCATGTCCCGAATTGCACATCTCTTCCCTCTCTTATTCCCACTCTTATATTTAACAGCAATCATTTTTCAGTTAAGTTTCAGCACTTAAGAAGAATTGTGTATTGATTACAGTATTCAACCAAAAGTATTAAGTAGAACAAACAAAAAAAATACTAAGAGGGATAACATATCAAGTTGCTCATCAACAGTCAGGGTGAGGGCTGATCAAGTCACCGTTTCTCCTACTGTTCATTTCACTTTAACAGGTTTCCTTTTTGGTGCTCAGTTAGTTGTCACCTATCAAGGAGAACAAGTGGTATTTGTCCCTTTGGGATTGGCTTATTTATTTAAAAATAAATATTTAAGTAATTTACTCAAAGTAATCAACATACATAAAGCATTTAGAAGAGTGCTGGATATGTAGCAAACACTTACTAAATATTATCTTTGAAATTGTCTGTTGGGAAGCCAAATTGTGCATTTTTCTTCTTCTAGATAGAAGGAGACTTTATAGCTCCTTCTTCAAATCTATCATTAGATTACTTGATTGTATAAGGTGACCTTTAAAACTGTTAGGATGAATTGTTTGGACACTCTCTGGAACCCATGGTTTCACACCTCTTTTTCCTTACCTATTTACAAACTGATTTCATATTTATTAGAAGTTCACCAAGTAGGCAAAGAAAGAAGAGGAAACAGCCCCATCTGCTATTCTAGTCTTTGGCACAA